GGTTGAAACCAAGTCTCTCCTAGGTGGCTAGGATTTTGAAGCTCTGCCTCACTTACTTTGGGCACGTGGCCAGAAGAGATCAGTCCTTGGAGAAGGACATCATGTTTGGAAGGGTGGACAGACAGTGCAGGAGAGGGAGACCCTGGATGAGATGGATTGATACAGTAACTGGGACGATGGGGGTTGGTGTATAAGAATTAGTGACACTGGTTCAGGACAGGGAAGGTTTCAGAGCTTCAGTACATAGGTTCACTATACGTCGTAGTTGACTCAACCAATAACATTCTTTGACATGTTTGGAAGCAGGAGTGGCATCCACATCCCAAGCAACATGCCTCTGGAAACTCTATGAACTTTGATAAATGTTGATGGTTGTAGAGGGGCTTCAGGCCTTTTGTTCACAGGGTTGCTATGAGTTGTGTTCGACTTGAAGGCAATCAACAACAATAACAACAATCATGTCTTTTGACTTCATATTTCCTCCGTTAAAGATTTTATTCAATAAATGAATTTGGAATTTGAATAGAACATTAGATACCATTGAGTATAACAACCCTATGAACAACAGATCTGAACCCTGTCCTATTCTGTGCCATCCTTATAATCTCTGACACACTTATGCCAATGTTGCAGTCACTGTAGCAACCCATCTGGTTGAGGGTCTTCCTTTCCTTTTCCATCCCTCTGCCTTTCCAAGCATGTTGTCTCTTTCCTAAGAACAGCCTCTGCTAGTAACTTGCCCAAATTATGTGAGATGAAGCTTTGTTATCTTTGCCTCCAAGGGCACTCTGGCTTCATCTTCCCCAAGACTGTTTGTTCTTTGGCAGTCCATGGGATATTCAGTAAGCACTCCTCTCCAACACCACAATTCAAAAGCATCAATTCTTCATCTGTTATCCTTATTCATTATCCAGCTCTCAGATACATAGCAAGTGATTGAAAAGATCATGGCCTGAATCAGGCACACTTTATTCCTCAAACTAATACCATTGCTCCTCAGTAATTTGGAGAGGTACTTGACTGCAGACTTTTCTGGTGCAGTATGTCTCCTGATCTCCTGACTAAGTGTATTGATTGTGGATCCAAGAAAGATGAAGTTGAGAGTTTTAAATCCCAGATGGAAGGGTCTTTATGTTCAGCCCCATCCATTTTTGACAAAGAAAGGCTGCAGTCATCTTTCCCTGTGTCAAATGCATGCAAATGCATTTTTGTTTCTACAATATTTTCTGACTGTCACATTAGAGAGTATGAAATGTCTTCCACAGTGTGAGGAACCTTGCTGACTTTAACACTATTTTCTCCTCAAATTGAAATCATGTGCAGCAATAAGTCTCTGGTTAGCTTGATTCAATGTCATAGACACATTTGGATATTCTTAGCTCCCTTGTCTTGTTCGCTAGACTATAAAGGTGTCTCAAGGACAGAGTCACTGTTATGTAAAGAAAAGAAGAACGGAACAGATGGAGAAGTAGATGGATAGAATAAAGGGTGGACAAAATTTCCTTCTGGTCGATAAGCTGATCCTTTTTGGTGCCTGAGCCTTGAGGCAGTTGTTGTTGTGATTGTTATGTGCTGTCAAGTTGCTTGTGACTCATAGTGACCCTACGTACAACGGCCCTGAAACCTGCTCTATCCTGTGCCAACTTCATTTTTTTTGTGTGTGTCTCTCTGTGTGTGTACTGTCAAATGGGGCCTGTGCCAACTTTATTGTCTCCAACATACCTGCTCTCATTACATCAGTCACTGTATCAATCCACCTCACCGAAGGTCTCCTTCTCTTTCTCCATCCCTCCACCCTTCCAAGCATAATGTCCCTCTTCAAGGACCAGTCCCTCCTTGCAACATACCCGAGTAAGTCAGACGAATCTTCAGATTCTTTTCCCCCAAGGAGCAGGCCAGCTTCACCCTCCTGGGATGAACCTGTTTGTTCTCCTGGAAGTCCGTGGTATATTCAAAGCTCTTCTCCAGCACCACAGTTCAAAAGCACCACAGCTCAAAAGCATCAATTCCCTTTCTATGATTCCTAGTCACTGGGGCAGTATAGTCACATTATGTTGTTTCAAGGCAAATAAGCTGATGGAAGCTAAAGCAGAAGCTTGAAGCTGCTTTTTATTCCAGAAGATGCCATTCACTGATTCAATTGGATTTCACTTCTAAAAATCCTTAGTCATCCCTTTGCCACACTTTGACAAATCTAAATGATTGGTCCCTTTTATTCATGTAAAATTTCTTTCATTTCCTACCTCTAAAACTAAGCTCTTCTGGCCTAGTGGTAAAGAGTTGTGCTGCCAGTCCTAAGGCAGGAGGTTTGAATCCACCAGCTGCTTTTCAGGATATAGGTGGGTAATATCCACCATATGATTTATAGCCTCTGAATACGTCTCAGAGGCTGAGTCAGTTCTCACTCCACTGCATACAACAATAAACACAGCGTTTTGTGAAAAGTACTATTTGTCTCTCATGTGATTAATTTCACATTCTAGTGTATGAAGAAATCTCGTGTTTCTTCATTTGCGGATTCTTTCCATGAATGTATTGAATGCCCATGTGCTGAGCACCAGTCTTAGGACTGGACTTGGCATTTACAATAGTGTGTGTGACATCTACCTTGTATCTATATACATACAGTGGCTCGCTCATCTACTGCTGACTGCTGTTCTGGACTTGTCAGCTAAAACAACGGGGAAGGCACAGAGTCATTTTAAGGGACCTAATTTATCTGGAAGCAGGAGCGGCATCCACTTCCAAAATGGTTTGCCTCTGGAAACTCTATGTACGAACAGTGCTCAGGCTGTTTGTTCATAGGGTCGCTATGAGTCATCTACGACTCGACAGCATTAAACAACAACAAACAACAATTTATCAATAGTAAAATTTTCTTTGTTGTTGGTAGGTGCCATCAAGTTGAGTGCAACTCATAATCAACCCTATCAACAACAGTTCTGAACCGTGTCCCATCCTAAACCATCCTCACAATTTCTGTTACGCATGAACCCATCACTGCAATCACCATTTCAATCTAACTGGTAGAGGGTCACCCTGTTTTACAGTAACCCTCCACCTTTCCAAGCATGATGTCCCCCTATAAGAAATAGCCTCTCCTAGCCACATGTTCAAAGACTGAGAGAATAAGTTTTATAATCCTTGCTTCCAAGAAGCACTCTGGTTGTACCTTTTCCAAGACATATCTGTTTGTTTTTTTGACAGTATATGGGACATTCAATACACTTCTCTAACACCACAACTCAAAGGTATCATTCTTCTTTTGTCATCCTTAATTCTTGTCCAGCTCTCTGATGCATAATAGGTGACTGAAAAGACCATGGCCTGAATCAGGTGTACCTTAGTCTTCAAACTGACATCATTGTTCTTCAGAATTTTGGAGAGTCCTTGACGGTGAACTTGCCCAAAACAATACATCTCCGATCTGCTGACTGCTGGTACCAAAGGTGTTGACTATGGATCTAAGTAAAATAAAATCAGTGAAAGTTTAAATCCTTTCCCCAACTGTCATGATGTTGCCTCATTTGCCCAGTGGTAAGGACCTTTGTTTTCTTGATGTTGAGATGTAATCCATATTGAGGGCTGTAATCTTTGATCAGCAGCAAGTGTTTCAGATCACTTTTAGTAAGCAAGGTTGTATCATCTTATATCATTGATGAGTATTTATCTTATCCTAATGCCACATTCTTCTTCACAGAGTCTGACTTTACAAATTATTTGATCAATATATAGATTGAATAGGTATGAAGAAAAGATACAACCCAACACCCACCCTTCCTGATTTTAAACGATGCATGTTCCCTTGTTCTGTTTGGACAACAGCTTTTTAATCTAGGTACACAGTCAAATGCCTTTGCATAGTCAATTAAACACAGATACACATTCTTTTGGAATTCTCTGCCTTCAGCCTGAATCTGTCTGACATCAGCTATCATATCCCTGGTGCCAGCTTGAACTTCTGGCATCTCTATGTCAATGTACTGTTTGGTTTTAGATGTTCTTCAGGAATATTTTGCTTGCATGTGATATTAATGATATTGTTCAATGATTTCCACTTTCTGTTGGATCACTTTTTTTGGGGACTAGGAACAAATATAGATGACTTCAAGTCAAGTGGCCATACAGCTGTCTTCTAAATTTTCTAGCATAGACTGGTGAGCACATCTAGGGTTGCATCTGTTAGTTGAAACGTGTTAATCATGTTAATCAGTATCCTATCTATTCCTGGGGTCTTTCATTTTGCCAGTGTTTTCAGAGCAGCTTAAACTTCTTCCTTTATTACGCTTGGCTCTTGTTCATATGGTATATCCTAAAAACTTTCAGTGTTGACTATTTTTGGTGCAGTGATTTTGTATAGTCCCTCTATCTTTTTTTGATGATTCCTGGATCATTCAAGAGTTCTCTCATGGCATCTCTCAATATTGCAATTCAAGGTTTTAATTTGTTAGTAACTGATTAATCACAGCACAGTTTGCTATTGTGTGGGAGTGCCAACCTTTTTGAGAATAAAGAGCTCTCACACTGAAAAAATTGGAACTCGATGATGAAGAGGGGTGCGGAATGCATGCAGGTGTGAGGGGAATACTTGTTGTGTTTCATGGAATCAGGAAAGGTTAGATGTGGTCTGAAGAGCAATTTTTTGCTTAAATTTCACCTCTATTTAAAGACAAATGATCTCAAATTACCAGAGAATATTTACCTTCAGTAAAAATAGCTGTTAAAAAAATAGCTAGAACACCTGATGCATCAGCATCACTTATTTTTAACTTGAAAACACTCCTTTGTGTGTAAGTTACTACCGTGTACATGATTATTTTCATAAGTCACTAAAATCTATTTTCTAATTGTTAAACTATGTTGTGGGGCTATAGTAGTTATAGTCTACAAATAGTAGGAAAAGCCTTGAGTCTCTCTAGCTTAGTATGTGGACTGTTAACATTTTTTAATCATTTAAACAATGAAATTGAAACTTAATAGGACTTGCTGCTATCACTTACGTCATGTATGTGAAAAACGTGCTGAGAGGTTCCAGAGAATGATTCCGGAAATACTCAAATTCTCTGCAGAGCTTTTTCCTCATCTTGTTATCAATGATGGAAACTGTAAGAGGACCCGTTTGATCAGCCAAGAAGTTGCCATAATCAGTGGTCTGGAGATGAATTTTCAGATCTGAAAGGAAATGAAAACCCAAATGAGGTAAACTGCATGATAGCTTTTACAATAATTGAATTTATAATAACCTTACACTAAACACATGTAAAAAGACCAAGGGCCATGCAGGGAAGCCGTCTCTGACTTTTAGCAACTTTACAAAGGGGAGATATCCCCATCAACAACACAAAACCAGTACTCATGTCAGACATGTCCTGCACAGTTTCTTACCTCTTTCTACACATTCCAACACTTTTCTCATCTTTCATTTTACAATTCACACTCCATGGAAACTTCTCTTGCATAGACCAAGGCTCCAACAAGATAAAGGAGTGCTGAATTCCATCCTTAATAATTTTTCAACTCTTCCTTTTTGTCAGCTTATGGAAAATCACTCCATGGTTTCCAAATTGTATTATTACATATGTGTAATTTTGGGGGACACAATCCAATCCATGACACATTAGGCTGATTTATACTCACAGTGGCCTCTAAAGGAATAGAAATGCCCCATAGGGTTTCCAAGACTCTAAGTCTTTATTTAGCAACCAAGCATGTAAGCCCTGTGCCACTTTGTTGTTAGGTATCAGGGAGGTGACTATGACTCATAGAAATCTATGAACAACAAATCTGAGCCTTGCCCTATTCTGTGCCATCCTTATAATTTCTGATATACTTGAGCTCATGTTTACAATCACTGTGTCAGTCCATCTCCTTGAGGGTCTTCTTCTTTTTCACTGACACTCTAACTTTTCAAGCATGATGTCTTTTTGTCAAAGACTGGCCCGATCTACCAGCATGCTCAAAGTATATAAGATGAGGTTTTACTGTCTTTGCCTTTAAGGAGCACACTGGTTGCACTTTCTTCAAGACATATTTGTTTGTTCTTTTGTCAGTCTATGGGACATTCAGTACTCTTCCCCAATACCGCAACTCGAAGACATCACTTCTTCTGTCATCCTTAGTTTTGTCCAACTTTCAGAAGCACAGCAAGTAATTAAAAAGACCATGGTTTTAATCAGATACATCTGAGTCTTTAAACTGACATCATTGCTCCTAACACCTTGGAGAGGTCCTTGACAGCAACTTTACTCAATGCAATATGTCTTTTGATTTCTTGACTGCTAGTGATCATTTAATTTTTATTTCAGTATCTGTGTTTAAAGCAATGAAACATCCAGTTAGTATAGATATGCTAGGAGTACTTGGGTAGCTTAGCAGATGAGCACAAAACCTTAGCCAAGAGGTTGACTGCTTGAATCCACCTAGAGGTGCCTGAAATGCATACTTGTTGATCTGTTTTCAAAAAAGTCACAGAATTGAAAAAGCTATAGAACAGCTCTACATCACACAGTTGTGGTTGGCATGAGTCAGAATCATCTTTACTACAACTAACAACATATATTTGAGCCACTGGGTGATAGAGAGGGTCGATAATTACTGTTGTTGACAAATTGAGAAAGAATGGTGCTGCAGTTATAGTCAGAAAGAGCATTTCAAGATCTAGCCTGAAGTCCAATGCTCTGAGTGGTAGATAGCTTGCAAGGAAGAGTCCTCAACAACCTTTCATTAAAAAAAATAAAAATAAAAAACTTGTATTATACTACTAACCAATTAAACCAGAACATCATTTTCTCTATACTTAGTTTTCTCAAGCAGAATTATTCATTTTCCCTCATTTGAATTTCAAAGTGCTTTGATAATATCTTCAGCACCTACTGTGTATTATGTAATCTGAAGTATGTTAACTCCAAAAAGATCTGTTATCTTAGTTATATCTTTTATCTGTGAATTCCTATACATTTAAGTACCAGCAATTAAATGTTAATCATTAATTTAATTTTAAAAAAATGTCTGATGCACCCAATGGAGCCAATAAAACATGGAGGAAATTAAGAAATAATGATTCTTAATTAAAACAACTTATTAAGCATCTATTGCTGCCAATGACAGGAAACCCAAAAAATGTACCAGACATATTCCTTGTGCCTAAGTGACAAAATACCACCAACAGAGAAGATACATTCAATGACACAGTTAAAGACTTTGATTTATGAAAACAGGAAGTTAAGACTTATCCATAGGAATGGTAATTGGAGAAAGTCCTGGAAAGTTTCTTGATGAAGGTGAGCTTGATAAAGATGATCATTAAAACACTATATAAAAGTAGGAGTGGGGCACTTAATGAATTCTTGCGAGTACAGCATACCTAAAGGTAACTTGGCTAAGGACTTAGCTGTTAACCAAACCCACCAGCAGCTCTGAGGAAGAAAAGACTTGGAAATCTGCTCTAATAAAGGTTACAGCCTGCAAAACCTCATGGGCAGTTCTCCTCTGTCCTATAGGTGTGCTTTCACCATGAGTTTGAATTTACTTCACAGCACATAACTATATGATATGTGCAAGAAGCTCAGAGCAGCTCAAGGCTGCTGAAGCATTAAATGAGAAAAAGAGAGATTAAAGAAAAAAATGGACTAAGAGTTAATGTGGGGTTAGATTGCTGTGACATCCTTTATGTTGAGAATAGGCAGCCACTGTGGGCTTCCTGCACATATCATATAGTTATGTGCTATGATGTTCTTATAGCTGAGGGAGGCAAGTTAGGAAGGTATGTCTAAAAATTAGACACAATATGGTAGAGATTCCTTATATGGGCATTTTCCCACATGCTAGAAGTAGATCTGATGATTTAGAATGTTTTCTTTAACTGATGAATTTATTTGTTCAATAATCTATATTTCATGGAAAGAATTTTATTTTGGGTCATGAGGTGATGTGATAATGCCTCCTATTAAAAACCCCTTTTTAGTCAGCAATATGGCACTGGAAACCAGTTTGAAAGTCAACTACAGGAGCTGGTTTTACAGAAGCTGTTGACTGGGATTGGTGAGCATTAGTGTGAAATGTTTTGTTAAGGGGGGTGAGGCAATGTGATAAGGCCTCCTATTTAAAAACTCATTAGGGCCCTCAGGCCTGCAGCCCTTGAGCCTGGTTTAAATTGTTTTTTGTCAAACATTCTTCTAAATGGTATAGCACTGATCTGTGTATTGCTGTACAGAAGTAACTTGTGATCGCTGTGAAGATGAACACTGTGACACTGATGTGCCAAATGTGATAATGGTTACCCATGGTGGGCAGTGTTTGGTGGAGTTCCCCTATTGAAACAAGCTTAGAAGTGAGTAGCATCCACTTACAAATGGCTTGCCTCTGCAAACTCTATGAATATGGAGAAATGACAAAAGTTATACAAGTGTTCAGGCCTTTTGTTCATAGGGTCACTATGAGTCGTCTACAACTCACTGGCACCTAAAACAGCAACAACAACAGCATGTCTTATTTAGCTTTCAGTTTGTTAGTTCAGGATTTTTATGCAGGCTGATAATTTACATTCTTAACGCTGAGAAACAGTTGCCAACAGAAGTAACCTCAAAAGCATTTCTTAATATGTTGTTCATGTGACACATTTCTTTAAAGCAGAGTAATAGTCAAACCTTTCCACTGCTAGAAGACCCTGAAACTCAATGTCCCAAGTTTTTCTAGTCTGCATGACTTTTGTAAAATCATCGTCAGTAAGTAGGCAGAGAGAAAAGAGGAACACTTCTGCTTCAGGGGGAGAAAAAAATTCAAAGGGACACTTGCATTTAGATCCTAAAAAAGAATAAAAAAGACCTAGGACTTTAAGTCCAGCTACCTTAACTTGCATAGCTCCACAATTAGTACTCTTAACACCAGCAGTCAGGAAATTAAAAGATGAATTGCACTGAGAAAATCTGCTGTCAAGGACCTCTCCAGAGTGCTGAAAAGCATCCGTGTCAGTCAAGTGATTAAGGTGCTCCTAATCCAGCCCATGGCCTTTGCAATTACTTGTTATGCTTCAAAAAGCTGGACAATGACTAATGATGGCAGAAGAAGAATTGATACCTTTGAGTTGTGGTGCTGGAGAAGAGTTTTGATTACACCATGGACTTCCAAGAAAACAAATAGGAGAGGGTTAAACCAAGTCTTTCCTTGGAGGCTAGGATTTTGAAGCTTTGTCTCACATACTTTGGGCACATGGCCAGGAGAGATCAGTCCTTGGAGAAGGTCATCATGCTTGTAAAAGTGGAGGGACAGTGCAGGAGAGGAAGACTCCAGATTAAACAGTAACTGGGACAATGGTGGTTGGTGTGTTGGAATTAATGACACTGGTTCAGGATGGGGAAGGGTTCAGAGGTGCTGTACATAGGATTGCTATGGGTCACAGGCAACTGGACAGCACATAACAGCAACAACAACAACAAGGATAACACTTTGAATCAATTCCAACTTGAGACATCACTGTGTGCTATCACTTTGTGACCTCTGTTTATGGGTCTGCTCAGAGTGTTCTTCAGCAGAAATAGGTCTGGAATGGGGAAGTAGAGCGTAGTTTTATTATTTCCATGATTTAAGAAGCTTGGGTTAGAGAGAAGGGTGGGCACTGGAGGGTTGGGTTAGAACAAAGCAGGATGAAGAATTAGAATGAACCCTCAGAGTAATAACAGCCAAAGATTGTGTTGGTGACTTCTCAACTTGGATAACTGTTTGAACACTGTAATGTCAAGGTTTTATTGTTCAAAATGTCTTTCCTAGCCATTGACTTTGACTTTGCCACATGGCTAAGTTGGAACAAGCAAATAAATTGTGTTTGTCTAGCCACAAGAGGATTGGTTAGTCTCATCATTCTACTAGCTTTAACTTGAGTGGATTCAGTGGCAGAAATTGGGAATCTCAATACCAAAAAGGATGAAGAAATAGAGTTCAATGTTCATTCTTCTGGGCAAGAGATTCCTATGGCAGTCAAATCAGCATCTACCAAGAGCAACAGCAGCCTCAACAAAGAACCAGACACCAACATGAGACAAGCTCACTTGAGACTACTGCCTCACTGAGCAAGAGCCAGAGAATTTCAACCAAAGCTTGCTGATGACTGAAGAAAGACATCAGAACTGGCAGGACTAAGGGAATTTTCCAATACAGACTTAAGCCATGAGTTTGAA